AAAAAAAAAAAAAAAAAAAAAAAGCAGAAACACACTGAGCTTCCAGGCGGTACAGGCCGAACAGAGGATGAGTGGAAGAAAAAAAAAAAAACAAGCTTAAAAAGTCTGTCCTGGAAATGCTTCAAAGAGGGGAAGAGAAAGAGGAAATATAGTGAGAGCTGAGAGAGAGAGAGAAATCAGAGGACAGGGAGGATGGAGACACAAAGTGACATGGGAGAGACAGAGGCAGAAAGATGTAGACAGAGAGAAAGAGAGAGAGAGAGAGAGGGAGAGAGAGAGATGGCTGGACTAGCTGAGCTCAGCACTACTGCAGCCTTTTATATGTGGGGCACGAGCCCCAAAGATCAGGTGGTGCTTTGGAAGAGCGAGCTGCTTAGCATTAATCCATCAAACATCCCCAGGGACATACATCAAATTACCACGAGCCGTCTGTGCCTCTCTCTGTGAGCACACACACACACACACACACTCACACTCACACACACACTGGAACATGCACACGCAGCAGTCAACCACCACCTCCTCCTCCTCCCATATCCTCTTCCTCCTTTCACCCCTCTCCCGGGGAAGGAGAGAAGACAATAGTGGTGCAGAAGCACGTGGGTGAGACTACACACAACACCTTGTCCTCCTTTGTTTTACAATGAAGTAGCTCACACAGTTTATGTTGCTCCCAATACCCCCCCACCCCCAACCATTCTTTCTTTCCTATTGACACCTCCTTTGATATTGCACTATCATCAGCCGCACGTCCAGATTATTTTTAAAATATTAAACTTTTATTATTAAAATAGGAACATCGCTTTGGTATTTAAGTGAGAATACAGTGTAGATCCTGCCAATTTTCATTAAATCCAGGTCAGAGTCTGTTAACTTCAAGCTGTTTTCAGATTCTTTCATGTGTCTCTTGCAGGCTGTAGAAGACAAAATCTCTTTGTGTGTGTGTCACAAACCTTTGGACCAAATGATGACAACAAGTTCAGATTCTTCTTTAGTGAGAAATATTCTCTGAACGGTATTTTGCTCATTTTCTGCATTTTTTTATTTAATTCAAATCCTTCCAAGCAGCTCCTTTTCCCTCAAACATCTTTCAATGTACGATACAAACATTTTTCACTCACACATGCAAGATACAGTTCAGAGAGGGAACCTTGCCAAATTATTTTCGCTTATTCATTTCTACCCATCTGGACAGTTTTATAATCGTATAATCCAAAATGTATAATTTGGTTTAGGTTTATATGGAATCGTCTATGAAGTCATACAACACATGTTAAAAAAAATTACATTTTGATTGGTTTTCATGACCTAAGCTATTGTAGCTTTTGAAGTCCGTTATAATAATCACAATTTGCTGAATGATTTGGGTGGAGAGGAGGAATAAACACATTATGAATTTGAAAACAGATGCATTTCAAAACAAAAGTTCTGAAATAAATAAAATCAAGTTTGATGTTCAGTTTCAAAAATTGGATGATGTATGCTACTAATACTGTATAATATATATATATACATTTTACATCAAAATAAGCAACAAGGAGAACTCGCCAGTTTCACTCCTTCTGGATCCAAAATCTTGAACCAATCTAAATTTCTCTCTGTGTTGTTTTGTCTTTTTACAGATGGTAGACAAATCACCAGTCTTATATAGAACAGCCTAATGTGGTGCTCATGTGCCAAAATATCAAGTATCACATTATTTATAAGACCAATGCTAAAGTATAACTTAACAATATGCTCCCCATTCCTCCTTTTAATGCAGGCAACACTAAACTGCTCATATTGATATATTGTTTTGTAACATAACTGTATTCTCAACAACATGGCCCTAATACTCCGTCGTAGGAAAGAATAACATAAAACTTTAATTTAAGGATCTTAGGTTTTTCTAGAAGGAGCTGATGTGAAAGGGAAATTGTAATTTGGTGTAAATAATGAGAGAGTATACTGTGGGTGTGTGGTCAGTGTGTACACTTAAAGATTTGTCTCTGTGGAGGACAAAGTTTCCAGTAGTAAAATGGGTTAAAGTGGTTCGTTGTTACTTTTTCCACTTATTAAGGTTTTGCAGTTCCTCAGAACATTGTGACTATTTCCCCTGTAATTAGTAAGATGTTGCGAAATGTTCCTTCAGAAAACACATGGGGAAAGTAGAAATAACAATTGAAAAAAGAAGTGACGAGCCCATATAAAACACTACAAGCATACTTTTGATTAAACGTATCATGAATCCTAGTCACACACAAAATATTAATTTGCCCATTTTATTGATTCTTTTCATTTATATGATGACAGCCTGAAGGTCTATTTTCACTTCCATCCCCTGTATGGTCCCTGGCAGTTTTATGTCCCTCTGAAGACCGTCCCCCCCCCGGTGACTTCCAGTCCATCGGCTGTGACAGACTGACCTCTGTGTGCATGTAGGGTCATGAGGTCAAACTCTGGTTAGCAGCTGCAGCTTAATACAACCTAGACAACTCACAGATGGCTCTGGAAGACACTCAGTATGAGCGGATCATGAAATGGTATCATCGCACACACAGCAGACAATCTCCACAGTAAAGTGTGACACGGTGATATTATGTATTCGTATTACTGTCAATAAATCACATGAAAAGACCAATAACAACAAATATTCTGTGCATAAACACTATGTTTATCTCATACAAGAAAAACCCAATTCCATTCCAAACCCACGTCGCTTCACTACAGTGAACACACAAACTAGTGCATCTTGGCTAGGTCTCACATACACTACCCTGCAGCCTCTAATTGTCACTAGAATGCTCAAAGTTTATTAATCTGCAGTTAAAAACGGTCCCCGAAAAATTCCTCTTGTTTGAGCAGAACCAGCATTAGGTGTGGACTACCCAGACAGTCGCCTAGAGCACCACCAGATGGTGTGGCACCCAAGAGGAATAATATTTTGTAAACACTCCTGCTCTACTTTTAAAAGTTTGATTCTGACGTCCATATTTCTATTTACATTGCAGTTAAGAGTTGATACTTAGAGGAGACCCCAGACGGACTGTATGACACTCTGCTGGGGATGGCAGTAGTCAGTGATCAGGTTACTTTCTGTTTCTGCTTAACTGGCACTGTTCACTGCTGTAGAAGTACAAGCAAGAATTATAAATTTTGCTTCAAATTGTATTATATTGATTACCAATGAGTCCTCAAAATTGTATCTTGTAAAAGTAGAAAACAACACAAAGCATATTCTTTCTCCATGAATCTGTAGTTTGGTTTTATTTGTTTTAAAAGCACAGGGGGAAAGGACACAGTCGCAAACTGAATATTTCGGCGAAATAAATCCAGTAATTGCCATTTTTGTATATTCCGATTAAATGCATGTGAAGTAGCGTTGCTCAGAATGAACCCAGAGACCGTCTGTCTAAGAATGTTGAGCTGTGATGAGTGAGCTAATTTGTGTTAATCACATCCAGTCATTAGAAAGCCATCTAAAAAACAAACGCAGGTCCTTTTCAGCACCTCCACAGAAATCTCCACTCGGCCATCTGACAATGAGGCAGCTGCACCACACTGAATGAGAGTGATTGTCTCTTTTCTTTTTATCAGCACTCAGTGAGTGAGGAAAAAGAGAATTCCCCCTCTTCACTCTGTATGTTCCTCAAGGGTTTATTGTGGTTAGCTGCTTAGAACGACTTGTGATTTATGTTCCAACTTATTTCATCCTTTTTTTTTTTTTACAACCAACCAGGTTTGTGCAAACGGTGCTAGGAAGGAATTTCTCTGCTGAGATTTGCCTCTAACACTTCTCTGCAGAGGCAATTGACGAAACACCTCTTGGGTCAATTTGGAAGTGACTGTTTAAAGTCTTACACAGTCGGCCACATCCGCACCATGTCACCTCGTGCAGGGAGATGAGAGGTCAGCAGAGCAGATGAGGAGAGGACTCCCAGCTGTCAGGTGAGGTGACTGACAGGGAAAGGAGTGGGGATGCCAAGGAGGCCAACTGGGGATGCCAAAAAAGCGATGAGGAGGCGTTGTACAACTGGATTTTAATCTAGTCAGACCTCAAAGCTAATAAAAGGAATCTATCCATCTCTCTCCTCACTATTGTGTTGGTCCTCAATCCCACGTGTCACTGGCCTCTGCTCTGATAGACGTCACAGTCTCAGGGGAGCAGCCGGGTGCAGGCTACAGATGCTGCCCGAGCTGGAAAAACCAGAGCAATGAAGAGGGTGCAGAGTATGATGACATGCCAGGTGGTAGATGAAGCTATGAGATACACAGTATAACAACAGGTGTATCTTATGTACTACACATACTCCAAATCTGTTAAAATTATATTGTGCAGCATTGTGCTTCTTTATATGTACGTTTTCTCTGCCAATGAACAGACAGTGATGGTTGCCAAGAGCTTCAGCCATCATGTACGAGCTGAGATGTTATATCAGTGTTTCCCATGAATTATCTCGGCTGTGGCGGCCTGTCATATTCTAATTCATATCGCCATAGTGTCATAATAAACCATACATTTTTTACACTTCTCAAAATAGCACAAGAGATGTCTAACTTGGTGTGTGCAGCACTAGTTTCTACATACTGCCTCGTGCTGTCACAACTCTTTGTGCCTGCGCTTTGGTCCATAACGTTTTTATCACCCATGCAGTAAAACCTCATAGTTTCAGCTGGGATGCAGTGCACTTCAAGAATGTACCTGTCACTCTGAATGTGGTGTGTGTGAGAATGACCTCCACAGTGGGTAGTATGTCCATGGAGCAGCTCCTCCAGGGCAGACTGTTAGTAACATTGTTAGTAACATAGCTGTATGTGGAACACATATCTCACAAACCATTTCATCAACCCAACATTCGGCATGTGTCCTGCCAATTTGGCCCAACAGACCATTTTCCTAATTTTGTTTTTAATAATAATAATTTATTTCACCATATCGGACTGTCAAAACCATTCAAAAGAACCCGCCTGTTTTAGATCCTACTACATCTGGAGCAGTATTATGTTTTATGATATAAATTACTGAATTTATGTTTGTTTTCCTGTGCTCATTAACAGGAGCTCAATCTGTACAAGGACATCGTCTTGGCATGTTGAGAACATTTCTACAGAAAGTGGGGGTACTCTGCTGCAGGCTGTAAAAAATGATCACACATTAGTGAAATAAGCCAGTTTATCACCTCACAGTCCCCGTCCTGGTGTCCTTGGCACCTGGTATTGACAGAGACCTCCACAGCGCCCTCTTGAATTCACTCTTCCCCAGACACTTGCCTTGGACTTTGCTCTGCCAATAATGCTGCA